TGCCAGAGAATAAACACACAATCATTATTCAACCTAAAATTTCCTTTAACCAAAACAGGCTTTTAATTACACAAAGCTTTTTCTCTAGGACCTAGACTAAAAGATTATAAATTAGAAGGAAAAAAGACTGTCAAATTGGCTGGCTCATTCAGATAAATCAATTTGAAAGGATTATAGATTACGTTGACAGTTTGAGTATAATGAGAAAAATGAAAGAAGGTTGAGATTAAAAAAAATTTTAAGAATGAAAGAATAAGAAATTCCATGTATGAACAATATAAAGCAGAAATGAAATATTACCTTGTAATTCTTATAAAGGGCATGAGATGGTGCTATATTCTACCAATTCAGATAAATCTACACAAAAGCAAACAACTTCATTTATTTGTTATATACAAATTTTACTTCTTTGCGATCATAATGTACAAGAAAATGCTAAAAGTCACAAATTACAAGACGTAAAGCAAAAATGTTATCTATCAAATCACCTCTATTTTTCACTTTTCTTGGAATACTGTAGTAAATGGAAATAATTTGTTTTGACATACAAATTCTCTACTGTCACTAAATTTTTAGGTGAGGTAGAACTACTTGGTAGTGGATTTGGCATAGACTTAGGAAGAAGAGAAACAGGTCCTAAGTGTCATCATCGTTGTTTTCCGCAAAGATATCCTATGTCACATACTTAGGAGAAAGCTACTTGCTTTTCAGTATGTTAAGTGAGTAAACAGCTATACAATAATTTGTTATGAAGGAAATTATAAATTATAAAATACATACTTCAAAGAATAAATGAATGATTTATGAAGGGAAAATTTATATGAGTTGACACCTAATTGACAGGTTGAATTGATCATTTTTAAAATTTGAGAAACTATTGTAACAAAACTATTATTTGGAGCTTTCAAAAAAATTAACAGTGGGCCATTTTGTTTTCAAAATGTTTATCTTTGCAGGACCAGCAGTTAGTGTAATGGCTATGTCGCTGGACTCCCACGTAGTCGACTGCAGTTCGTGTCCCGGACCCGGTGGCTTAAAACTCATGCCAGGCGAGTGTGCGTCCATGCCCAAGATCCCGAGAGGAGAATGGAGGAGAAGGGATTGCGGCGTGGCCATCCCTCCCGCCCCCCGGAGTGATTTCTCGCTTTCTGTCTCTTTGTCTCTCTCTGTCTGTCTGGAGAGCACAGGCACCCTATAGCAAAAAAAAAAAAAGAAAAGAAGTTTATCTTTTTTTTTTTTTTCGGAGAGGTTTTCGCTATAAGGCGCATGTGCTCGCCAGACAGACAGAGAGAGACAGAGAGACAGAAAGCGAGAAATCACCCCCTGGGGGGATGGCCACGCTGCAATCCCTTCTCCTCCATTCTCCTCTCAGGATCTTGGGCACACACGCACACGCGCCCGGCGTGAGTTTTAAGCCACCAGGTCCGGGACGTGAACCGCGGTCGACTACATGGGAGTCCAGCGACATAGGCATTACGCTAACTGCTGGTTCCCTCTTTGTATTATATTTTCATATGCTGTATATATATATCACATACATATTGTGCAATACATGTATATGTTATACATATGTATGTACATTGTATAACATGTACAAATAACTTGTACAGTTTGTGCAATGTATGTGTGTGTTGTGTGTGCATGTTTCAACATGTGCAAAACATATATGCAGGCATATTATAATTAAAAGTCTGAATATAGGAATATTGCATCTCTGGAATTTACAACTCATGATTTGGGACTTATTCTAATTCTAATCATGATTAGCCTTAGCAAGGAAGTTGAAGCTATTATCTTAAAGGGAAATTCCTGACATTCCTTGCACATTATAGAATCTAAGCCAATGGATTGAATTCAAGATTAAAAATATAGTCCATACAGTCCCTAGGTATGGCCAGTAGAGAGTCATATATGTATGGTCCCTGTCAGGATATCATTTTCCTCCTGTAATTCAAGTCATTTACCAATTGTGTGGAAATAGTTTAAAATCTGGCTTATGTTTACCCTATTACAACACTTTCTAATTTCTGAAAAGTTCCTCCTCTTTCTCAATTCCATACTTCTCTGTTTCACGTAAGAGTCCTAACCCCATATAAAAGAGATTTAAATTATTTGAAGAAAATTCATTTAACAATTCTTTTAGTAATTTATTCTGGATATTCATAACCAAGAGCTTCTCAGACTTTTAGAAAACCTCAGAAATGTACACAATTTATGAACTTTTTAAAAGTGACTTAAAAGTAAAATAGAAGTAAAGAACTGAATCGTGCTAAATAACAGAAGGGTTAGATTTTTTTTAAAAAAAGTCATTTCAGGTCATCTAGGAAAAAAGATAGTAAACGACAGTGGACGAATATCAAGATCAGAAACAAGGTATAAAAAGGTAAAAGTGACCAACAGAGGGCGTGAGGATTGTCACTGGACTCTCCCAAAAGGGACCACGGTTTGAGTTGAGCACCTGGTGGCTTAAAACCCACGACAGGCTCGTGTCCATATATACCCTAAATCCAGAGATGAAAATGAAAGAGAGGGGATTGTGGTATATCCATCCCCCCCCCGGGGGGGATTTCTCACTTTCTGTCTCTCTGTCTCTCCAGCAAAGGCATACACCCTATAACAAAAATCTCTCCAAAAAAGAAGAAAAAAGATATAAAGATAAGAAATATAGGGTTATCAAATATTTCCAGACATTAAATTTTACATGAAAGTCACAAATTTAAAAGTTAATGGTCTATAGGGGCCAGCAGATGGTGTAATGGCTACGTCACTGGACTCCCATGTAGTCAACTGTGGTTCAAGTCCTGGACCTGGTGGCTTAAACTCATGCCAGGCGCATGTGTGTGCATGCCCAAGATCCTGAGAGGAGAATGGAGGAGAAAGGCTTGTGGTGAAGCTATCCCCTTGAGGATGAGAGAGGTGGTGGTGGGGTGATTTCTCTCTTTCTGTCTCTCTATCTCTGTCTGTCTTTCTGGCAAGTGTGCACACCCTATAGCAAAAACTGCTCAAAAAAAATGTTAATGGTTTGTCATCTTCTGTTCATCATTAAATTCTCGAAGTATCTATAACCTATCCCCAATTATCATCTGTACCAGTCTCTGTTCTTGATGTCTTAGATGCAAAACTTTAGTCTCTAATTACACAAGGAGACTTCAAAAAGTTCACAGGAAAGCTCATGGAATTTAAATACAAGTTTATTTTGGTGCAAAATAATTTTAAATCCATGCACAGCTTTTCATAATAGCCATTTTCCATGAACTTTTAAAAGATCGCTTATATGACTGCTCTGGTTTACAGATTAATTTTGGCATTGTTTATTAGATCTGCCCCCAACCTTACTACACTCAGGGACTAGTCCAGGCCAACCTATCACTGCTTTATATCTAGATGATATAACTCTACCAGCCTCTCAGTCTAAGTTGACATCTCTGTACACAAAACAACAGTAGAATAACTTTTCTTAAACTATACATTCAACATGTCATTTCCTTATAAAGATAAGCAGTCATTTTTTAGTTTTGTAATAATATTAACAACACTTTGGTTACTAAAGTAAGTATTGTCAGTGTGCTAAATACTTTACATATGTTAGATGACTTAAATCTTTCAAAAACAAACTAATCATTATTCCCAATCTATGTATAAGGAAACTGAGACTCGGGGCTATTGACAACTTACTCAAGGTGTGCAGTTATCAAGTGACAAAGCTAGGATTCAAGCTCAAGTCTGTCTCTATCCAAACCTTTTAATCATTAACTATAGCATTGCTTGACAGAGCAAACACCCAATAAATATTTGTTGATAAATGAATGAAAAAATAAAAAATGAGGCAATACTACCTTGATATACCATTAATAGTAAAATGAAATTTTCTACTTTTTAAGGCCCATTTTACACTAAGCAAAATAGCTGACATATATTACCTGTTTAGTAAATATCTGCTGAATTGAACTAAATTAAAAGGAATTGCAGTGGTATAGGCACAATTAATGAAACAGAGAAAAAGTCTTATGATTTAATATAATCCAGATTAATATTTATTTATATTTCTCTTTACACTGGCTAAAATTATATTTACTTATACTTTTGAATCAAGTAAACCACAGTAATCTAATTAATTTTATTAGTATTTAATTTAGGTACAAAATATAAAAAGCTTCCATTGGTGGAAAATAATATTTTTGGAACCCTAAATATTATGTGTGAACATGCTGGACATGTACACCAAATTGCTTAGGGTGTATAGATTCCTAAACAGTCTGAACAAAACTCCTTAGAGATAACGTTTTAAAATTTTAATATAGAACAAATGTCACTGTCTAGCAATTTAAAGATATAAGGGACTTCAGAGTTCAATAACAAATACAGAGTTGTTATTTGAAACACAAATGTAGCTCTTGAGAACAATCAGTTCAGTTTTCTAACAGCAGTTATAGTATGTGGTCATAACCATTTTTCCCCCTTTTACAGAGGTCTCTAGGTACACATTTTTAATGTATCCTAGCAGTTTCCAGTTAATGTTTTATATTTCTGTAGCTATTATTTTCTGTTGAAAGAAAACTAGTAAAGGTTGAGTCTAGAAAGGGAAAACAAAGAAAGAAGATCAATATTAACACTCACAAATATTGACTTAGCAAAGTGACTTTGTGGTCTTTCTCTCATAGGAATAGATATTGAATGAATGATTTACTTATAAAATACACCTATGGGAAGTATTTGTTGAAAAAAGAATTTGCTTAATGAAACATAAAATCAGATCATCTATTCATCAATTTCAAAAAATCAAGAATTATTGTTTCAAGACCTTACAATAACATTCTTATTAATTTACTTTAAAAGTATCATAACTGGCTTACATGTAGAAATGCTGCATTCCCCAGAAAAACTTCAAGGAATTATTTCACAAAGTTTACAGATTCTCTACAGCTACTGAATAGTTATTAATAAACTTAACGTCAAAATATTTCAGGAAAAGTCATGTGTATACATTTAAAATACTGTACCTTTATTAAGTTTGGCTCAGTTAACTTTGAGTTTCGGTTACTATTAGCACGCATGGTGATTGTGAAGGAAACAGACGTTTTGAATTTTCTAGTTGTTGACAGTAAAGAACTTCTGGTGTCACCTGCAACAGGTAATAGTTATTTGTTCTCACATTATGAAAGGTTGTCATTATGAGGTTATTTCTAAACACAGTATAGTATAAAAGGTCTATTACATTAATTTCACTCTTCATTCCTATTGAAACAAAGTCATAAGTTTCATATTTATCAGGCTTTAATAGTTCCTAATTTATAGGCTACTAATAAGATTCTTTATTTCAATATGTCACCTTTTAGTTTGAAATTTCAGTTTTAATAAAATATAATGAGCATAGCCAAGTCAAGTTCGACAATAAAATTTTACTCTGATAGATTTTTATAGCTAGGAGAGTCTAGAAGTGGTAGCTAACAGAAGCTGGATTCTCACTTGTTTTATTAATATCACTAATAAGCTGAGATAGAAGGAAAATTGTACAGGAATATGACTCTTCATTCCTGATCAAAAAATTTTCATTATAAAAGTAAATACCTTTGAGACCAACAGGTGGCATAGTGGTTAAGTTGCTGGACATTCCTACATGGTTGACCACAGTTCGAGTCCCGGACCTGGTGGTTTACTTTCTCACTTTCCCTCTCTCTCTGTGTCTCTCTCTGGTCAAATTAAAATAAATGATGAATAAATCAAATTTTTTTAAAAAAACTTTTAAAAAGTAAATACCTTTACTTGATAATATTTCCTGATCAATTTTCCTTATGATTCTAGGTGATGGTTTTGGTAATGGTGATGGGTCCCTTTCAGGGGGTCCTTCTATATGGCTTCCAAACTGTTGACGCTTCAGTTTACTGTCAACCTCCAGTTGTTCTAGTGTAGTCTTGAGATACTGCTCATTTGTAGTCATATATAATTTACAAAACTACGGGAAATAAAAAAGTAGTCCGGACATTCCTACATGGTTGACCACAGTTCGAGTCCCGGACCTGGTGGTTTACTTTCTCACTTTCCCTCTCTCTCTGTGTCTCTCTCTGGTCAAATTAAAATAAATGATGAATAAATCAAATTTTTTTAAAAAAACTTTTAAAAAGTAAATACCTTTACTTGATAATATTTCCTGATCAATTTTCCTTATGATTCTAGGTGATGGTTTTGGTAATGGTGATGGGTCCCTTTCAGGGGGTCCTTCTATATGGCTTCCAAACTGTTGACGCTTCAGTTTACTGTCAACCTCCAGTTGTTCTAGTGTAGTCTTGAGATACTGCTCATTTGTAGTCATATATAATTTACAAAACTACGGGAAATAAAAAAGTAGTCCAGAGAATAAAATAGTCAATCATACATTTGGGATAAGGAAAAGGTAAATGCACATTAGTAGGCAAGGGATAGACTGAGAGATGGAATATATTTCCTGTTGAACTTGGTTACTCATTTTATTTTCTTGAATCAGATTGACCAGCCTCAAGTGACCTAGTGAATTGCAGCCATGATTCAATGAGGAGGTCATACTCAGAGTGAAAATAAAATGTTACACAAGGAGAGGTGATTTATTATTGTTTTTTCACAAGACATGTAGACTTGCGTTTGTTCTAAATAATTTTTATGATGCTTTCACCCCAGAAATGTACATTTCTGAGGCATCTCTATGTTTGTGTGTCTGTGTGTATGAACACACACATATTTTAACCTAGTTATATTATTCTTAATGTAGTCCTCAGATTTTATTTGTAGGACTAGAGAGATAAAATTTCAAGTACAATGAGTACATAATAGATACATGTATCATTGCCATTATTAAAAAGACATGTCTCTTTAAAATTACTTTTCCAATATGCTAATTAGCTTGATTTAATCACTTCATTTTATTTATATATATATAATATATAAATAAAAAATAATCACTTCATTTTATTTATACACACACATATATATAAACTAAATATGCACTGTAAATATGTACAGTTGTTATTTTAAATTATATCTTAATAAAGTTTAGGGAAAAAAATTTTTTTCTAGAAAGAAATTAAATCAATATGTGTATATGTACCTTGACATAGTCAAATTTGCCATCAGCATTTACATCAGCCAAACTTATTATGGCATTTACCTCTTCTCGAGTCATCTTTTCACCTCTCTGAAAAAAAAACAAGATTTATTTTGAAGCAATATGATGACCACTTTGTTATTCATGGGGATAGTAGAAATATATTTCAATCTTTTCTACAAGTAAGTTTGAATACATGCTTTCATTTTAAATCAGAATAAGTATTATGTTAAGCAAGAATGACACTAGAATATAAAATAAATTTTATAATTTAAAAAATTTTTGTGAAAGTATACTGAATTCAGTTATCATAGTCATTAATAACTGCTATTGAATTTATAGTAATGACATTTTCTAACACTATACCAAGAAAAACAATTCGTAATCTTCCTGATCCCATTTATACTTTTTTTTCCTTTTACTTATCACATCTGAAACTATTATTGTTTTTGTTTTGTTTTGTTTTTTGAGACAGTTGTTTGGCTATAAACACAGGCTGACCTCAGACTTCAGCTTAGCTATCTCAGCCTCCCAGGTAGGTGGGATTCTAGGTTCTGCCATCTTGCCTAGGCCTATCATGGTCTTTTAGAGTTCTAGGCAGAAAAGGCATGCACAGGAGCACAAGGGATTGCAACATAGGCTCAATTTTATACTTTATCTTTTATTTACAAAGCCACCTTTCAACCAGGGTTCCTAAGTAATTTTACAAATAAAAACATGATTCATTTCAACTGTCAATGAAATAAATATTTTTAATGTAGACTTTAGTAGTCAAAAGCTAGATTTCAAATTGCTTGGCAAAAATGCATGTTACAAAATGGTTCCACAGAGCTTACCTTTGTTAGAAATTTATAAAGGTCAGTATGTGAAATAGAGCCATCATCATTTACATCTAATTGCTTAAATGATTTTAGCAGTTCTGCTTTTGAAGTAGGTTTTTCCTTCCTTAAAATCATACAAAAATCATCAAAATTCAGTTTGGCAGTTTGAGGAGTCCAATACTTATTGATAATCTTTTGGGATGGATTTCTTCCTGCATGCTGAAGAGCTACCCAATAAAACAAGCATTATTTGTTATTATAACATTTGGAATTAGTATTTAAGTATATTTTTTCTTCAAATTGTTAGATATTATGATAGTAAATGTACATGTATCAATATATCACCTTTAGTACTCATTATCTAGTGGTATCAATATAGTCCCAACTTATTTTTTAGAGAGATTGTTTAGAGAGACAGAGACAGAGAGACAGGAAATGAGAAATCAACTCCTGGGGGGACGGCCACACTGCAATCTCTTCTCCTCTCAGGATCTTGGGCACGCACACACAAGCCCCCAGCATGAGTTTCAAGCCTCTGGGTCCAGAAGCGAACTGCAGTCGGCCATAGGGAAGTCCAGCAATGTAACCATTACTCCATCTACTGGTCCTGCAGTGTGGCCATCCTCCCAGGGGATGATTTCTTGCTTTCTGCCTCTCTGGTGAGCGCCAGTGCCCTATAGCAAATATCTCTCCAGAAGGAAAAAAAAAAACGAAACCAAAAAAATATATACCACCAGCTACAGATTCTTAAATTATTTGCCAAAATTAAACATATTTTCTATTTTGATAGTTTCATTCTCAACCTATACAGTTTAAATAAGTGATAATATCCGATTTGCTTAAGAGTTTCTAGAGGGAAAAAATTAATAACAACCATGCACTTAATTATTTTGAGGACATAAGGATAACCAAAAAAACATAAATTATTACTTTTTCTGGCTCACCTACTATCTCAATGAAATGAGGAAATTGTTTGAGACTATTAATGTCCATAAAGCAAAATAAGTGAAATGTTCACCACTGCTAGGTAGTAGGGTTTCAAGAACATTAATCATGCTCCAAATGTCAAATATATGCACTAAAGTATCTACCTACAGTTATGGCTCTGCTAAAAATCAAGAATGTCAACATAATTTGAGAGAAGATTATTACAGAAATGCAACGATCAAACTACTTTTCATTTTTAACCATGTCCCTGTTATCTCTGAAAGGCAATGCATGACGTGAGAAAGGCTTTGTATATATGTATATATCATACCACACTGAAATACAATGGTTTTAAACACTTGTAGATATTTTGTACAGTTGAATAGAAGTAACTTGGTCATTTGCAAACAATCTCTGCATACTAAGATATAACATTATCGGGCAGCTGAATGGCTATATCGCTGGACTCCCATGTAGTCGACTGCAGTGTGAATCCTGGACCTGGTGGCTTAAACTCAGGCTGGACACATATGCATGTGTGCCCAAGATCCCAAAAGGAGAATGGAAGAAAAAGGATTGCGGTGTGGCCATGGGAGGTGATTTCTCGCTTTCTGTCTCTCTGTCTCTCTCTGTATCCCCTTAATCTGCAATATAGAGGTAAGAAAAGTGTTGAAAATCAAGACTTTTTTGATGCTATTATTGTTTTAGGTTTGATACCAAATTCATGTTTTGGCCAAATATGACTTTATCATGAGATTTTTTTTAGTCCTGATTCATTACTCTTAGTGTATTTATTTCTGTTAAAGAAATTTAAGGACAATTTGATTATGTAGTGTTCCATAGACCCCATTGATACTACATAATAATACAGTTGACTAAAATTTGAAGAATTCTAAATTGAAATCATTTGGCCCAAAGTCCCACTGCTAGTAGAAGACAAACTAGGTCCCCTCTCTTTTACATTAAAGTAGTGAAGTTGCTGTATCTTAACCATGTAACATTTTGGGTTTTCCAATTCCCTTATACACTTCTATAAAATTTGTTTTCAAAAATTAACATATGTCTCAATAAATGTTCACAAAATTACTGTAAATGGGTTTTTAGTGTATTCTGTAGATTAAATGTGTCCCCCCAAAATTTCCATTTTGAAAATAGACAGTTCTGGGGCCAGCTGATGGTATGGTGGTTGAGGCCCTGGACTCCCACATAGCCAACCACAGTTTGAGTCCTAGACCTGGCAGTTGCATTCTCACTTTCCCTCTCTTGGTCTCTCTTTGGTCAATTAAAATGATATTTATTTATTTATTTATTTATTTATGTTTAATTTTTTTATCTTTTGGGTTTTTTTTCTATTTTTCCCCACATTTTATTCATTCACAAAATACCTTAAACTAAAAATATGAACAAAGCTAGAATCTAGTTACAAGTACACTGTAATTTTCTTCTGAAACATTTTTTAAAGATTAATTTTTTTTTTTTTGGAGAGGTTTTTCGTTATAGGGCGTGTGCGCTCGTCAGACAGAGAGAGACAGAGAGATAAAAAGCGAGAAATCACCCTCCAGGGAGGATGGCCACGCCACAGTCCCTACTCCTCTATTCTCCTCTTGGGATCTTGGACATGCACGCACAAGCGCCTGGCATGAGTTTTAAGCCACCGGGTCCGGGACACGAACCGCGGTCGACTACGTGGGAGTCCAGCGACATAGCCATTACGCTAGCTGCTGGTCCCAAGATGAATATTTTTTTTATCTTTTTTTTTTGAGAGGTTTTTGCTATAGGGCACATGTGCTCACCAGAAAGACAGAGAGAGAAAGAGAGACAGAAAGCGAGAAATCAATCCCCAGGGGAAATGGCCACACCGCAATCCCTTCTCCTCCATTCTCCTTGGGCATGCATGCATATGCGCCCAGAGTGAGTTTAAGCCACCAGGTCTGGGACTCAAACCATGGTCAACTACATGGGAGTCCAGCAACATAGCCATTATGCCAACTGCTGGTCCCTCGAGATTAATGAATTTACATTCATTCCCTAAGCATTGTTATAGCATACAAAATGTTATTTCCCATCCAGAATATACTGAATAGTGGCTTAATCATACATGTTATCATCAGTAATTTTCCATTTCTAGTTTCCCCCTATTTCTGACCCTCTGCCATTTCCCACCCTCTCCCACACTATCTCAGGTGTCTATAGTTATTTTACATTCCTTTTCCCCCTCATATTTTACTGATTCACAGAATTTCTTAAATAATCTAACTACTTTCTTTTTTAAATTATTTATTTTATTTATTCATTCATTTATTTTTTTAATTTAACTAGAGAGAGACAGAGTTTGAGAGTGAGAGAGAGAGGAAGTGAGAAAGCAAGCCACCAGATTCAGGACTTGAACCCTGGTCGGTCATGTGGGCATGTCCAGCGCCTTAACCACCATGCCACCTGCTGGTCCCCTAATCTAACTACTTTCAATAGCAAGTTCAGCTGGTATGTACATATCTGTGAATACATGTCTGACTTTAGGCGTGAAACTCTGAGTAGAATGAATATACTGAAAGGTAGCACCTAGCTGATGCTATATAGCTAACTATGGTCATTAAATAGATATTTTTAATATATTTTTTAATTTCAAGAAAAGCAATTTTAGCTTTAATAAATCAAGGAAATGCTAAGGAAATTTGCTTAAAACTTAAAGCCAGGAAACAAGTTGGGATTCTGTTCAAATATTAGGTCCATGATATTAGGTCTATCATCAGCTCAAGGTGGGATAAAAGTCCTTAAAACCAGAAAACAAAGCCTAGAAGAAAATCAGCAATGTTTTAGTCAAAAGTCATAAAATGTTGTTTCACCAGTTCAGTTTCAAGTACTTAATCTATCTTCTATTGTGGTTCAATCTTCTCTATTAAATTCTGGGATATAATATTCAACTCCAGACTTGTCCCTGTGATTAAGCTGGCCATTTTCTTAGTTTTCAAACTCTTATTTCTGTGTGTCTACATTCAATTTTCCTGGTATAACACTCCCTTGAGAACTTCTTGGAGATCTGGTCTGGTGTTGGTAAACTCTTTCAAGTTTTGTTTATCTAAAAATGTTCTTGTCTTGTCTTCCCATAGGAAGGATAATCTTGCCGGGTACAGTATTCTTGGTTGAAATTGCTTTTTCCTTAACACTTTGAATATATTTTCCCATTCTTTCCTCACTCGCATTGTTTCTGATGAGAGGTCTGCTGTTAGCCTGACGGTATATCCTTTGTAGGTAACTTGCTCTACCTCTCCTGACAATCTAAATATCTTGTCTTTGTAGTTTTGGTCAATCTGGTTATAATTTGTCTTGGAGAAGATCTTCTTGGGTTGATTCTATTTGGAGTCCTTTGTATTTCTTGAGACTGGATCTTTGAGTGCCTCTCTAGGTTTGGAAAATTTTCTTGCAGGATTTCATGGAATAGATTATCAATGCCCTTATCAGTCTCTTTGTCTTCTGGGATACCAATTATCTGGATGTTTGGACATTTGATGGTATCTAGTATTTCTCATATATTATTTTCATATTTTTTGGCAATTTTCTTAGTCTTCATGGTGAATTTTTCTAGGCCAGCAATTCTATTTTCTATGTCTGAGATTCAATTTTCTGTGTGATCCAGTCTGCTTTTAATACTTTCAAGGGAGATTTTGACTTCCTGTATTATAACCTTCATCTCTAATAGGTCCATTTGATTCTTTTTTTATAATGTATATTTCCTCTTTTAGATCTTGCAAGAATTTCCTCACCTCTTGGAACTCATCAGCTCCTTTCTCCTGCCTCTTCTGCAGTTCATTGTCTCTCTTCTCTTCCATCTCTGTTAGCTTCGTCATCATGAATATTCTAAATTCTTTATCAGACATATCTATGATTTCCATTGAACTGTCTGTGGATGAAGAGGAGTTATTCTTTTCTCTTGGAGGATAGGTATTTTCTTGCTTTCCCATATTTCTTGTGACCCTGTGGTGATTTCTAGTCATCTGATGGATGGTAGCTTTCTTCCTAATTCTTAAAGTTCAATCTGAGCATTCGGGAGTGTTCAGAAGGAGGTGATCTGGAATTTCTCTGCCATTCCATTTTTATCCCTTTGTACAACAGATTCAGTGGTTATTGAGGAATATGTTAACCCTAACAGTATTTGGATATTTGGCTATGGTTCCCTTAGAACTATGTAGAAACACAGTGAATGGAGATTGAGGAGCAAAGTGATGAAACAAAAGAAAAAAGAATAAGAAAACAGAAAGAGAGATAAGGGGAAAAAAGATAAAACAACCCCCCCCACAATTTT